ATATGATCGTCACTTTATGTCACATTTAGTGTTAAAATCGAAAGTCCACTATGCTTGTAACATAGGAATTAATTCAAGTTGACAAAATATCATTCATTCATTATTATATAATAATAGAAAAAAACTCTTAAAACCTATCGAATCACACACACACACATATACTTCATAATTCCTTTAAACTATTACTTTCAGCCATCAAGTCAAAATAAACTCACATCTTTTAACTCATTCGTCTTTAACAATATACAAAATGCCACCAGAAGAAATTTCAACAGATTCTGCTACACCACTTATAAATCTTAGTTCAAGTAATGTAGACGTAGAAAATGAAATTATAGATGGCTCTTCAGATCACGATGTTTATAATTTTATAGAAAATGGTGACAAACTGATTGAAGCTGAAGTAGATACTGGCGATGTACAAAGTGGATTTTCATGGTCAAAGTTATGGAAATATACTGGTCCCGGTAAATATAAATATATTTAAATAGATCTGTGAGATTGTTACATTCAGTGTGAATTATATATGCAAATAAAATTTTTTAACAAAGGTGTTATATTTAAATAAAGCCTTATGCATGAATTTTTAGAACTTTCAAAATTTTATTTTTGGTATATTATATATACTTATAATATTTAAAATTATATATAGGGTTTTTAATGTCTGTGGCATACCTTGATCCTGGAAACTTAGAGGCTGATTTACAAACAGGTGCTGTTGCAGGTTATTCCTTGGTAAATATGAAATTTTTTTTAAATTTTTTATTTGGAGAGAATTGCAATTAATCAATTCAATCTAATCAAACAACCACGTTAATTTATTCATTCACATAGCTCTGGCTTCTATTGTATGCACATTTAGCCGGTCTATTAATACAGTGTTTATCAGCTAGAGTTGGTGTGGTAACGGGAAAGCATTTAGCTCAATTAATAAGACAATATTATTCACGTCCTGTATCAATATTACTTTGGGTAATAACTGAGATAGCTATTGTCGGTTCTGATATACAAGAGATAGTTGGTACTGCAATAGCATTAAAAATTATTTTCGGATTGCCTTTATGGATTGGTACAATAGTCACGTTACACGAATCGAAAGTCCACTATGCTGTTACACGGATTATATATGCGGAATATTCATTTTAAACGAGAATTTTTTCAAATTAAAATAGTTTACATCACTAAGTCTTGATTTATTTTAATAGTCAAAAAAAATAGCATAATAGGAAAAGTCGGGGGCATACAAACAAGTGACGTTCAAAAGAACCAATATAACTATAGAAGATGCAAATTATCCAAATGAGACCAACGAATGCAATAGATCTTTAACACTGACGTTTGGGTTGCTCAATGAATCTTGGAAATGACTTAACGCACTCCAAAGATAAGCTTGTAGTAATCAATCACATATTCAAATTTGTCGAACTGGAAGAGATTAGAACAGAATACCAATATCACTAATAGAAAATACAACTTAATGGCCCTTGAATCCTATTCACTCTGAAATAATACTGATATTACTAATAGAAAATGCAGCTTCAGTGGATCTTGAAAACATCCTATTCGCTCTGAAATAATATCGATATTCTTATAGAAAATTCAACGTCAATGGATCTTAAAAATATCTTATTCGTTATGAGATTCTTATAGAAAATTCAACGTCAATGGATATAAAAAATAATTTTATTCATCCTAACTCATAATATTACATAAGTTAGTTCATCCATATCATAATCTTTGTAAATTATTTAGATCAAATAAAAATAGGCTTGTAATTATTCAATGTTCTGGTCTTCATTACTTGATTTTTTAATATTCTTAAGAAGCAGAGGGAAAGCTAATCTATATCAACTGTCCACAATTGACTATTATACTGAAATTAATCTTCATGGTACTCGAGATGACTTTACTACATAGCAAATTATTATAATCATTCAAAAAAGGAATCATTTAGAAATAATTCATGGTGCATTGGATTCATCTCATTTGGTAATAAATTCAAGAAATATATAATAATTGTCAATTCCTTAATATAAAAAAGTAATTATAGAATAATTCATAAATAAATTTAATAATAACAATGATGAAAAATTTAAATTCAACCCTTTATAAAATATAAAACGAGGAGGGATCACGTAAAAGTATTGCTAAGGCATTCTTGGATTACCCCTTTGAAAGTACGGTACGGTTTTATTGGAAAGTCCAAACATTTTAATTACAAAAGTTGTTATACTTTCTTCAATGATTTTGGATTTTTTATAAGCAAGCATTTACATTATTATTATTGAGGGGAGCCCCTGAAATCTTTGTTGCGGTTTTAGTCTATTTATAGTGATCTTCTTATATTATTATCTATTTTAATCCTTTTTTTTTTTGCTTGCTTTTTTATTTTAAAAGAAAATTTTTTTTTTTGATATAAATACATAGTTATAAAATGACTTATAATAATTATAATGCTTCAGGCGTTCCTGTTCCTTTAGGAACTTCGGCTTACAATCAACCAACCTATTATCTCAATAATTATAACAATTACAATAACAATAATTATAACAATAATTATAACAATAACAATGAATATAATTCCAATTACAATGGTAATGATAATGGAATTACCAATAACAGAGCATTAAATCCTTATGGTAATGATGATAATAATGGTTTCATTCGTAACGATAACAACAGCAATAAGAATAATAACATCATTAATAATAATAATAATAACACTAATCAAGGTTCTGTTCCTTACTCGACAAATAATTGTGACAATGGAGGTCGTAAAGATCGTAAAGAGTAATCAATAAATTATAATTTCTTCCTTGTATATATTAATTAATTAATTTTTACATTAATCTTTTATTCTATAAAAAAATTTTTTTTTTAAAAAAAAGATATAATACAAATTATAGAGACTACAATAATAATATGGGTTATAATAACAACAACAATACTAACCATTATACAACATCCATTAACCAATATTCGGAAACATATTCCAATAATAATAATAATAATAATAAAATTAACAACAAAATGTCAACGACAACAACTAATAATAATACTTTTGGATCCAGTTTAGTTAGTCAGGATTGGGGTTCTACAAGTCTTCCAAAATTTGAAAAAAATTTTTATAAAGAACATCCTAATGTTATAGCTAGATCTGAAGCCGAAGTGGAAGAGTTTCGTAGAAAACACGAGATGAAAGTTTTTGGTCAGGATATACCAAAACCTGTTGAAACTTTCGAGGAAGCAAAATTTCCCGGTAAATAATATAACATTAAATTTTTTTTACCTCTTCATTTCGTTTATATCATAATTCATCTCATTAACTTCTTATCCTCTCCTCATTAACCATTCTCATCCATTTCATCTTTCTTTAGATTATGTGTTAAGAGAAGTATTAAGCCTTGGTTTCCAAGAACCAACACCAATTCAATCTCAGGGGTGGCCAATGGCTCTCTCTGGACGTGATTTAGTTGGCATTGCTGAAACTGGGTCAGGTAAAACTTTGGCTTATTGTCTACCGGCAATTGTTCATATCAATGCACAACCGTATCTTGAACCCGGTGATGGGCCCATAGTATTGATACTGGCTCCTACACGTGAACTGGCACTTCAGATTCAGCAAGAATGTAAAAAATTTGGTAATTCAACGAACATTAAAAACACTTGTGTCTATGGTGGCGTCCCAAAAGGTCCTCAAACACGTGAGTTGTCTAATGGTGTAGAAATTTGTATAGCAACCCCTGGTCGTCTGATAGATATGCTTGAAACAAAAAAAACCAATCTTAAACGTGTCACCTATTTGGTACTTGATGAGGCTGATCGTATGTTGGATATGGGGTTTGAACCTCAAATTCGTAAAATTGTTGACCAAATCAGGCCTGATCGTCAAACTCTTATGTGGAGCGCAACATGGCCCAAAGAAGTTAAAAAGCTTGCTGATGATTATTTAAAAGATTTCATACAAGTTAATATAGGCTCCATGGACTTGTCGGCTGGTCGTAACATTACACAAACTATCGAAGTCTGTTCTGAATATGAGAAACGTGATATGTAATTATTATGTATTTATAATATTTATGACATTCATTTATTTATTGATTGATGTCTGATAAGCATTTTTTTATTCTACTAATGTAGGTTGCTTAAGCACCTTGAACATATTATGAATCAAAGTGAAAATAAAACATTAATTTTCACTGCCACCAAACGTACAGCAGATGACGTTACTAAATATTTACGTCAGGATGGTTGGTCAGCTCTTGCAATTCATGGTGATAAAGCCCAAAGTGAACGTGATTGGGTGTTGGGTGAATTTCGTAGTGGAAAATCTCCTGTGATGGTTGCTACTGATGTTGCTTCTAGAGGAATTGGTATAGTTTAACAAATTATTTTGTATTTTTTAATTATTTATTTGGTTTTTCTTTGAAAAACATGACTCCTTTTATATTGTTTCATGCGTGTACACGTATACAGTAGTATCTATATATGTGTAGTGCGTATGTATACAGCAGTATCTATACATTTACGTGTGTATGATTTTCTTTCTTTATGTTATACGTGTGTAAGTCCCTTTTGCCAGTTTTTTGGTAGTTCCAGGTAACAATTAAAAAAGTGGAATTGGCTTCTATGATTGATTTTTAATTTTATAATATATACATGTGCAGGAAGATTCATGATGTTGTCGTTTTTTTTTTGATCTCAAAAGAAGCTTCATTCTCTTAAAATATATATATATATATATTATAAAGTATTTTGCCTGCAGCTGCTCAATATACCTGGCATTTGGGGGATTACATTTATCTTTATGATTGTAGTTTTTCTTTTTTTCTTTTTTTGTTATTACTTTTTTTCTTTGTCTGTCTGTCCGTCTTTTTAATGGTGCAATTTTATTTATTCGCACTGTTGAAAAAAATGTTGTGATCTATGTGCTGAAACTACTACTCTGTTGTTGTTGTCTGCATTAATATCACTATCATTTGGACACTGGACTGGATAAGTACCTCCCTAGTTTGATTTATTTAATTTATGATATCTGGATATATGAATATAGAATGTTTACAGATTTCCAATAATTTTCTAACTAAACATTTTTTTGGTTTTTAATTTAATAGATGTTAAAGATATCAAGCTTGTAATTAATTATGATTTTCCTACCAATGTCGAGGTAAATACTATACATGGTTATCTTTTTTTAAAAAAAAAATAAATATATTTTAAATCGAAGACAATTATCAAATTTTATGAATTTATTAGGATTATGTCCATCGAATTGGTAGAACAGGTAGAGGTGGAGCGAAAGGATTAGCGGTTTCATTTTTCACTACTGATAATGCTAGACAAGCTAAATATTTGGTAAATGTTTTAAGAGAAGCTAATCAGGAAGTTGATTCGAAATTATTAGATTTGGTTAAATCTGCTAGTGGTAATGCTAATAATGGTATGTGCTATATGGGTTTGGGATTTTTTTTAATTTGAGAATAATCAATTTTATTTTTTTGGTTGGAATGATAGGTCGTCAAAGATACTCTAATAATCATAATGTTGGTGTACGTAATTATAACAACAACAACAACAACAACGCATATGGCGGATTAAATTATAATAATAATAATAATAACTTCAACAACAATTTCAAAAATAATTTCAACAACAATTTCAACAACAACAATTTCAACAATAATTTCAACAATAATTTCAACAACAATTTCAACAACAATTTCCACAATACTATTAATAATAATATAAATTGGTAGAAAGAAATTCTAATTGAACATTTATTATATATGTTTATGCAAGTATTATAATTAAAAAAGAACAATGTAATTAGATTTTTTTTTAATTTTATATATTGTATTTAAAAAAGTTATTTTATTTTTCAAAAAAAAAAAATAGATTTTTATTTTATTTTATTATATAGAAAATAAATTGTTAATAAAAAAAATTTGTTTTTGTGTTACTATTTACATAAAATCAAAATCAAAATTTTTTCTTGATTATCTTCCAACAATATAACAATAATTATATAAAAAAATTAAAAATATGGGTGTACCTACCAACGATAATACCGATAATACCGATAATACTGCTACTAGTACTACTACTACAGCAGATCAAAATATTACCGATACCATTACAAATATAGATAGCGATAATAAAAAACAAAAAAAAATTGATAGTAAATATCATCGTATTGCGCTTGGCGATATCACACCAAATAATTTAGGTCAGCTTAAACGTTTAAATAGTGTATTATTTCCAGTAAATTATAGTGAAAAATTTTATAAAGATGTATTAGAAGTTGGTGAATTTGCCAAATTTGGTAAGATGTCAATTATTATTTTTTGGGAGAGTTATATATATATATATATATTTATCTATTCTTTTTTTCAAAAAAAAAAAAGCATATTTTAATGATGCTTGTGTTGGAGCTGTATGTTGTCGTAAAGAACCAATTGATGGTGGTGGTGGTACCGCAACATCATCACTTGATCAATCAAAACTTTATATTATGACATTAGGAGTTTTGGCTCCATATCGTAAATTAGGATTAGGTAATAATAATAATAATACTGGCTTTTTTTTTCTTTTTTTCTTTAGTTGATTAAAGTAAATTTTTTTTTGTGGAATGGGTTTAATTAGGCTCTAAGCTATTACAACATATTTTAAACCATGCAACAAGTATAAATAATAATAATAATAATCAACAACAACAATCATTGAAGACCTTTACTGAAATTTATTTACATGTACAAATATCAAATGAAGAAGCTTTAGATTTTTATAAAAAATATAAGTTTGAAATTACTGGAGTTGAAGAAAATTATTATAAAAAAATTACTCCAACAAATGCATATATTTTGAGCAAAAAATTATAATACAATTTTATTTTTTTTATGCAATAAAAGATTTACTACATTATTATTTATTTGCTTTTATTTGAATTTGAGTTTTAAAAAAAGATTACTATAAAAAGAAAAAGAAATCATTAAAAGAATGATAATGATATGCGTAAAAATACTGAAGCTTGATATCAATCAACTTACACAAATCTCAATCATATTGCTTTGTCACATCTTTTCATTGTTGTTTACATTCGGGTATTTCTATCAAAATAGGTATATGTTGGTAATAAAGTTAATAATAAACATTAATCAATCACCAAAAAATCAATTGAAAACTTGATATTTACCCACTTTCCCGCTCTTTCCAATTGCCTATAAAAAAATACATATAATTATTAAAAGATCATTGAAAGAATAAATCCCACTTTAGAGTATTTATTTATTTACATTAGCATTTTTACTATCATCATCATCATCGTCGTCATCGTCATCGTCATCATCAAGCCCATCATCGTCATCATCAAGCTCATCGTTATCCTCAAAATCATCATCACTGCTATAATCAAATGTTTCCTCATATTTTAAAGCTTTGCCAGTGTACCAATCGATAGCATGAGGAATAAGTTTATCTTTTAATTCTTCACCAATCTGATAATCAATTTCCAATTGTAGATCTAAATCATCGTCGTCGTCGTCGTCTTCATCATCATCTAATTTACTTGGTGGGATTGGTGGACTGAAAAATTTAAAGAATGAATCTACTGGTACTGTAGTTTTCACTATACGAGATTTTTTTGTACCTAGAAATCAAAAAATCAAAACCAAAATCAGTATCATAATAACTCAATAATAATAGTAATAGTAATAATGATGATTATGATTATGATTATGATTATGATTATGATTATGAGATAAATACTTTTATGTTTTTGTTTTTTTGTTTCTATTTTAACAGTAAGATTTTTTCCTAGCCTCCAATTTATTTTTTCGCCTTCAGCGTGATCGTAAATAAAATCACCACCATACCCAGGTTCTTCTTGATAATAATAGGTTTTTGATAAAGTTTTGTTTGTAAAGAAAGGATTTTTTTCGTCAAATTCAAATTCTAATTTAAACCCTGGTTTTTCTTCAAGATATAACATTCTAATATCAACCAGATGTTTTAATGCTTCTTCATCTTGCTCAGTAATCAAGTTTTCAATACTTTCTACGTTTTTCATGGCTGTAAGCCAAAATTCAGGAATTCCTTTACTAGGATTGCAAACTTCTTGTGTTTTTTTATCCTTTTCGGTATCTTTATCTAGAGTACCTTTTTCAGTATCTTTTTCTTCAGTATCTTTTGCTAGAGTACCTTTTTCAGTATCTTTTTCTTCAGTATCTTTTTCTTCAGTACCTTTTTCAGTATCTTTTTCTTCAGTACCTTTTTCTTCGATATCATTCTTCTCAGTATCATTTTCTTTAGCGTCATTCTTTTCAGTGTCTTCTCCCTTAGTATCAATTTTCTTTTCTTTAATATCTTTTTCTTTGATAGTATCCTTTTCAGCCTCTTTCTCCTCCTCTTCATCTATTTTAGTTCCTGCTTCCACAGCTTCTTCTGATGGCTCACAATCCCCACGTACAATTTTTGAACGAACATCATATAAAGGTTTATATAGTTCCGAGTATTTTTTTTCAACAGCTAAAATCTCTTGTTGAAATTTTGCTTCTAATTTCGCGTGTTCTTGTTGATAATACTTCAATGCATTTACTCGTTTCTTAACAGGTTCAGATAAATTTTCGATGTAACTTGATTTCTTCCCTATTAGTGTATCAAGTTTACTTTGAAGAAGAGAAACTAAGTGAGGTGAAGGAGTTGCCATCATTAATGTAAAAAAAAAAGAGCCAAATTTCACAAAATCTAATTGGACCCCTAGATCTACTTGAACACGCCAAAATGGGAAGAGCAAAAAAATTCGATTATTTAAATATATATATATATTTATTATTTATTGGTTTATAAACATTACATATTATGTACGTCTATATAAAAAAAAAAAATTAAAACAGTAAATTCATTAACTAACAATAATTTTATATTAATTTAATATGCAGACATTTCATTAACAGAATCTAAAGAATCCATTGAAGAACTTCTTCTATGTTTATAATATTGATGTACATCTTCGATATCATTCTTCTCAGTATCATTTTCTTTAGCGTCATTCTTTTCAGTGTCTTCTCCCTTAGTATCAATTTTCTTTTCTTTAATATCTTTTTCTTTGATAGTATCCTTTTCAGCCTCTTTCTCCTCCTCTTCATCTATTTTAGTTCCTGCTTCCACAGCTTCTTCTGATGGCTCACAATCCCCACGTACAATTTTTGAACGAACATCATATAAAGGTTTATATAGTTCCGAGTATTTTTTTTCAACAGCTAAAATCTCTTGTTGAAATTTTGCTTCTAATTTCGCGTGTTCTTGTTGATAATACTTCAATGCATTTACTCGTTTCTTAACAGGTTCAGATAAATTTTCGATGTAACTTGATTTCTTCCCTATTAGTGTATCAAGTTTACTTTGAAGAAGAGAAACTAAGTGAGGTGAAGGAGTTGCCATCATTAATGTAAAAAAAAAAGAGCCAAATTTCACAAAATCTAATTGGACCCCTAGATCTACTTGAACACGCCAAAATGGGAAGAGCAAAAAAATTCGATTATTTAAATATATATATATATTTATTATTTATTGGTTTATAAACATTACATATTATGTACGTCTATATAAAAAAAAAAAATTAAAACAGTAAATTCATTAACTAACAATAATTTTATATTAATTTAATATGCAGACATTTCATTAACAGAATCTAAAGAATCCATTGAAGAACTTCTTCTATGTTTATAATATTGATGTACATGAATATTAACAGTAGTTTGTGGTAAAGACATTAATGATGCAAGATATGATGGGTCATTAACATTCAAATTCAAACCCACATTGTTTAGTATATTATTTGTGTCGTTGTTAGCTGGAGGATTTAATATGGTAATCGTTGAAGGATTATAACAATATTTTTGCTGTAATTCATGTAATTTCGATATTTCTTTTTGCTGTTTCCGTTGCGATTTTTGTTGTTCCAATTGAGATTTCTGTTTCTTATCAAGGAGGAAAGTGCGCACAAACCATTTCATAGCTTTATTCTTGTTCAACATTGATGATTTTTGTTGTTGGCTAAGTTGTGAATTTGTCATATAACCAAGAGCAAACGAATTTTGGGTTAATGTTGGAGAAGTGGTGTTGGTTGATTGAGGGTATATTGTACTATTATACTTGGAATTAAAATTTTTATTGCTATTACTGATGCTACTGTTACTACTGCTAAAAGATGCCGTTGTATCTGTTGGAGTATTTGATGAAAATTTATAGCCAGGTGACATCGGTGGAGTGTTGAGAGAAAAGCCTGTCTTACTAGAATCAATACCACCGTTGCTGAGAAGCGGTCTTACAACTCCATAACTATCCACCAAATCTTTTTTACACTTTCTAAAAGCATTATGTAAAGCTGGATCAAATAAAAATGCAATACAATTAAAAAATCCAGGTAAGCATGATCCAATAATTGACCATAAGATCAAAGGCAGAGGTTCGCTTTTAAGATCCTTGTTAATTGAACTATACATAGTAAGCACCACAATGCCGCTTACGCTCAATAGAGGTATTATGGAATAAAGAGCAATACGACTAACTAATTTTAATAATAATATTTTTTTATCTCTAGCTTTTGCTGTCAATGTTGTATTACTTTTTGAAGTAGTTATAACTTCTGCCAGTTTTCGATGTTCAAAGATTAATTTACACACCACAACCATCAACACAACAGTGCAATAAACCATCGAGATTGTTATTGGAACGAAAAAAGTTGCAAATTTCCACCATTTTGTTTCTTCGGAAAAGCTATTCCGATATAAACATTCGCGAGCATCAGTATCATATCCAAAAACTTTATAGATTAGTGGCGGTACGTTTATTATTGATGCAAGCAGAACTGCTACTGGGATATACCATCTGTCCGAAAAACTCGAAACTTTTTTTCTATGAAGAAATACAATCTAAAGGGAGATATACAGGATAGAAGAAAAAGAATATTATTATTATTTTACGAAATTTAAATTTACACGCCCACACACGCAATTTAGTTACTTGGTTAATTAATATTACCTGTAAATTAAATGCTATCATAACAGTTAGAAGCAAATATAATAGAGGAAGAAAACTCATCGCAAATCCAATAGCTGTACATATTGGGTCATCGAGAGGTATCCGAAGTGTATATGCCAACACGGCTCCACCGGTCAATATATCCACAAAGGAAATCATCGCAGTCAATCTTAGTGACACGCGATTAACTAATTTTCTATCATAAAACCACATAATAGTCATTATCAATAATACCAAGAATCCAGATGAAATACTGACAACACTCAGGTACAAATTCAATTTATGCAAAATTGTATCTAATTGTTGACGTTTAACATCATCATCAAAACTTGTATTCTCGGGATAATCTTCGTAAGGAGCATTTGGATCGTTGTATGGATTATAACCAGTATCGTTACTCATTATGATATTTTATATTTTATATAATATAATAATAATATGCGTGAAAAATGAATTTTCTTTTCATATACAACGGTAATATTTAGGAGAGCGAGAGAAAGAAAAGGAGAGGGGGAAAAAAAAATGAATGAATGAATATTTTAATAGTTTTTTTTACTTATTTTATCAAAACTTGTTGCTAAAAAAAAGTAAAAAGTAAAAAAAAATATTAAATATTTTTTGAAAAATGAAAAACAATTTCGAATTATTTATATTATTTTGATAATCTAAATTATTTACTTTATTTCCTCATTAATACTAAATATTTACCAAACTAATTTAGCGTCAGGCTTCTGCATTGTTTAAAGTTGCAGACATTGTTATAAAAAGGGAATTTTTGATGTTTATAAATAATATTTTAAAAGTAATAAAGAGCATACAAACGAGCAAAATCAGTAAATTATAATATTAACACTATTATCAAATTTAGTAAACAATGATCTATTATTATTTTATTACATTAATTTGGAAATCTAATTTATCATAATGCTTAAAAATTCCAAGTTGTTATGCATAACGGTAAAATTAATTAACACACATGAAATTGAATTCCTCGTAAAAAACCAATAATAATAATAACAATAACAACATTAGATGATTTTCGTTTCATTATTATTATGTGAACAGATATAGAAATATGTCGATTATAGAATATCAACCAACATATAAATTAATAATAATCTTGAAAATCATCTGCATTGTACACTCGTTTGAAAGGTTTTAATCCCGATTATGCTAACTGTTCAAGTGCTTGACCAAGTAGAAAATCGTAAACGATTTTCTGGACCAGGGAAGACATGTTAAAAAATTTTTTTTTTGTTTGCTGTGATTAAAAGCCTACTTATTCATTACCTTAATAATATAAAATCGTAATGTAACGTATATGAAACATTATGCCACAAAAAAAAATTTTTTTTCAGGTGTAGTAACCAGCTACATGATGATGGCTGTCCTTAATAACGTGATTGTGATATTATTATATAGAGGATGAAACAAGAAAACTGTTACGAAGCCATAATAATGGGGGTAATAAATCTGAAAGCATGGATTCAATAAGGATTTAGTTTTTCCCCTTCTGGTTTGCTTTCAATTTGTTAATGGGATTTTGTTTTAGACGGCAAGCTGTTTTCTTTCAATCACAAACTGTGAATATTCAACCTTTTCGTCAAATTCCTCTCAGCTATTGTTAGTAAGGGCTTGTGATCTGCGTGTTTCAACATACAAGGCACTCTTGTTATAATAACATTCTCATTATATCAAAACCAAAAGTTTATGAATATAAATTTACTTGTGTAATAATGACTGACATTCACCGTTATACGATAATTTTGTTGGGTCGGTCACCCATAATTTATATCTATTTGTAATTGGTTCAAGCAATATGCTCATAAGCTGGCTATCTTTTTTTGAGGAGAAAAATTCGGGAGTAACTTCAAAAAATTATTCTTCTTTATTTTATATGTTGAACTAACATTATTAACAACCTCTAAACACATATGCTTTAAACCTCATCTGCTTGTAAAATTTAGATGATAACATTTGATCAAAAATTTGTTGGGTCAAATGCCAAGGAATTTCAAATATTTATTATTATTTACATACAATATATATATATATACAACAAGAGATATTACACAATAAAAAGTATTTTTTCGAGAACTTTTTGTAATTGTGGTATGACAAACTTTCATCAATATTAAAATCATTAAACTTTTCCAAAGGCCAGAAATTTTTCTTATGGAATCTCTAACTTGGATATTCAAAATTAATTAATTTACAAATAATTCAAATATTTGAATAGAAACCTTAAAAGCAATAAATAACAAGAACGCTAGTGACAAAGTCGTTGTCATAAATCATATTTCTAGTATATTTTTTTCAAACTATAATCGCCATAATATAACAATAATAATTTATGGACTTTTGGCCAATGGTTGAAACGAAGAATCTATCCACTAACTATATGAATTGATATACATATGTGACCCGCCATCAATTCTTATTATGTTTAACTTCAAACTACAAAAATAGATTTTCTCAATTTTCAATTCATCACAATGTACTCGGCAACATTGTTAGCGATTTAGACAGAAGCTTATCTGATTGCAAAGTATAAAGCCACTATTATATATAGCAAGCACTTTAATAATTTCGTTGAACAAAATTCGATTTTTATGACAAAGATGGCGTTATTTTGAATTCTCTCAATTGGAACTATTTTTTTGTTTACTTTATATAGACTGACTCTATTTACTTTTTAAGTATCAAAATATTTTAGTAAAATTACAATATATATTAATTATTTATATTTTAAAAAAAAATCATGGTAAAAATAAAAAATATTAATTTTATATAAATAAGTACCGAACTACAAACATCACTAGATATGATTGATTTAAAAGTATAAACTATTGGTTGTTAATGTATTATTGTAAATTAAGTTTAGCAGCAAAATCAAACAGTCTCTTTGAAAAGCAACCGATAGTTATATCTCAAAGTATATGAATGCTGAAATACTTTTATGATAAATCAACCGCTAGAGTTTGGTGTTGACGAAGTTATTCTTTAAATAATGCAATTTCCATTTTTCAATTTTTCAAGATTTGTATTCAATTCTTTCTTTATCAATTAATCCTGTTAGAAAAAAACAGAAATTTAAAGACAACTGTTACACGCCATTTAATTAATTGTAACTGTTATTTCTCAAAAAAAAAAAAAAAAACTTCACTATTCATTAAAGCACAAGTCAAATTTGAATTTTATAAAAATATTTATTTATAATGAATTATTATCACCAAAAAGAGTGAAATTTGTATTTAAAACTAGTAATGAGATGTATAGTGATGCTCTGGTTAATTCTGATAGAAAAGATTATTTTTTTTTTTATTAGTCAAGAGCTTTCTGAAAATGGAAAAAGAATATTGTAAAAGAAAAGTTTATTTATGAGTTTGAATTAAGAAATGCAGCTTATAAAAAAAGGCAAACCAAAAGAATGTAAAAAGTGTAAATTGATAAATTTCTCTGATAGATTCTGTGAAGTTTGTATTGGTTTACAATTACAGAGTCTTTTCACTACTTGGATATCTGAAAATAACATTATTGATAACTTTATTCAATAATGTCAAATGAAATCATCTTTTGCCACAATATATTTTAGAATGGGATACCTTTTGAGCAATTTGAAGATATAACAAAATTAACTGAAGGTGGATTTAGTTCAATTTATATGGACAAGAGGATAAATAATTGATTATGATAATAATAAAAAAGGAATTTAGTTATTTTGGAAGGCAAAATGTAGTATTAAAAAAAATTTAAATGATTCAAGTAATCCAGAAAAAGGCTTTTTCGATGAGGTTGGTAGTTGTCGTTTATATCAAAAATAAATAATACAATACTAATTGATTTTATATTTATTTCAGGCAATGAATTATTGCAAACTTAAATCAGTGAGAATTGTTCCTTGCCATGGTATAACTAAATTCTCAGATAATGGAAATTATGTATTTAGACAGGCAAATATTCGATCGTCAAATCACAAGTTCGATATAATATAAAATGTATAGAATTTAATTGTAAAGTTCATTACAGTCACAGCGGATTTCTTGTTACAACAGGTTTAAATATTGGCCCTTTTTTATTAATTATAATATTAATATTGATATTAAAAATGTTATCATAAGGGATTTTATTAATTAAATTTGTTCCATATCCACAACGTTAACGGATTTTTGATGGGGTCTTCTATATTAATATGGCTATATACTACAGCGGATTCACGTGACATAAATTTATGAATTATCAAAAATGGATAAAAATAAAATAATAGATTATTTTTAAGGTCAGTGTTAAAATAAAGCAATAAAACAAACAATTTTATTCAAAGATTTACGAGTAAAAAATTTTCTAAAATAAACCAATACAAACAATTGATAGATTATTTGTCCAAAAGTTTGCGAGTAACAACTTTCCCAAGTTTCTAAAATAAATCAATAAACAAACAATTGATGGGTTATTTGTCCGAATGTTTGCAAGTAACAACTCTCTTTAAGTTTCTAAATAAATCAATGAATCAATAAACAAACAATTGATAGTTGTCCGAGTAATAACCTTTTCCAAGTTTCTAAAATAAATCAATAAACAAACAATTGATAGATTATTTTTGCGAGTAACAAAATTTTCCAAGTTACTAAAATAAATTAACAAAACCAACAATTGATAGATTAATAGATTATTTATCAATTTTTAAAACAATAAACAAAACAAGATCATTTTTCCCAAAGATTCATAATAAAGTCAATTAGATTATAAATACAACCAAATATTACAATAAATTATTTTATCCCTGTATTTTAGATTATTAATTTTTTGCCGATCATCACCAATTTTGCCGCAGGGAATCCGTTGTGGCAAGGTTTGACTGTTTACAGAACAAATCGAAACCAAAATCTTGGTTCATTCATTATAGATAACAGTTCGGTTCTTGGATACGTCTGTATAAAGAGCTTTGACTACACTTATTACTATTATACTCTACGTGCTGAATTTTTTGATGCGAAGATCTTTCTTATAAAGAAAACACGGGTTACCTTTTTTGATACAAATCAAGTAGTACTTGCTAAAATGTAAAGTGAACATTATTATTATGTCATAGTTAACGAAATTTAGAAACGCGCATAAGAAAAAATTCTCACACTCTTTAATTATCATTATATAAAAAAATGACACAATCTCGTAAGGAAAAATCCATAAAAGATACACATAAACTTGAACAATGGGAAAATGATATTGAAATGAACGGACCTTATCCCGAGAGTAGAGAAGATCCAAAAAATTGGTATGAACTTTATTATCATCATTGTTGTTGTTATTGCGTTGTCATCATTTATAATAATGTTCATAAACATAGGTCATGGAAAGAACTCGGTAATGAACAACATGAAGAAATTAATGCACCAGATGAAATCTTGCCAACTTTGGCACCACAAGATTCAACGCCAATAGAAGAAAGATATAACGTTAAAAAAATAGATGAAATCATGACTAAAATTGCAACTGATCCAATTGATAACCGAGAAGATAAAAATCAAAAAGGAAAGAAGGAGCCCATTTTTGTTGAAAAAAATGAAAGTGGTGTTGCAGAGCTAATTTAATGTTTCATTTTCTTCTCATTTGAATGATTTTACTATATATAATGGACCAGTCCAAGATGTTTCTTCTATTCAGAGATGAAGATCTCGCATCAAATCCACGATTTGTTTTACAATAAAAAGACTTTTTTTTAATCATCAATTAATTATTATTTTACAAAGAAGTTTTTAATTGAACAAAATAATAATAATAATATAATTTTTGAATCTTTTCATTCAATTAAGGAAATAATTTGTTATATATATGTTCATCCAACATCTCCTCGATATATATTTATTAATAAATGGGAGAAACAATCTGCACTAAAGGAAAAAAAACCTAAATATTGATTGATAGATGGTTTGTTAAATCTTAATTTAAAAAGAAAGTTTGAACAACTTCTAACCAATTAATCACTATAAAAAGATTTGTTTGATATCAGTGACACCGAATCCTAAACCACACGTAGCACATTTACGATTTCGAGCTTCTACTTGTATATCCAGACATTCTTTACAAAAAATGTGCATACATTTTACAATGCAATGGGATTTGAATCTAATAGCACATGTTGAACATTTCAACAATTTCTATTAAATATAGATATATCAGATTAAATATTAGAAGAAAATTGAACAAAAAAATAAAATAAAATCATCATTACCTCATAACTATATAATAATTTTTCGGCTGTAACATTTGATTGATTATTATTTAATTCCTCCACCTTTTTTTTACTATTTTCTAATTCTTCATTTAATCTCCTAATTTTAAATGTTTCTCTCTCATATGATTTTGTTAAGTCGTCATATCTTTTTTGGAGCTAGATATAGAAATAAAACGTTATATTTATTTATGTTCCAATAATAATAATAATAATAATAGTAGTAGTAAACGATAATAATATTTTATTACATCTATATAGGAATTGTAAGCTTTGTCTATTTTTTCTTTCATTTCTTTTTGTTGTTGAGTCATTTCAATTAATTTGAGTTTGTGAACATCAACCACTTGTTTAGAACATGCTATTTCTTTATTAGCGTTTTCCTAATCAAAAAAAATAAAAATAAATATATATTTAGTTACATTTATACCAGCGAAAATACGAGAGAGAGAGTGCATGTAATACAAGTGTATAGGTAACGAACCAATTGTGATTTAAGATTATCTTCCAAGTATTTCATTTGTCGAATATGATCAGTTTGACTTTGAATAACTGTGGACAAATGATTTTTCTGTTTTTTTAATGATACATTTTCCATCCAAATGGCATTCAATCTTTGTCTGGCTTTTGATTCCTAAATGTTCAATTAATAATATATAAATAGATAAAATTACCCTTAAATATATGTATGTATAATTTAGTTTATGATTGGGATGATTTAAAAAACATACAGATTCCCTTGCAATTTGTAACCTTTCATCTTGTGCAATAATTTCAAATACTTTTCGTGTATTTTCTTCATCTTGACGTGTCCAATGATCACCTAAAACTTGAAGTTCTTGCAATAATTCTTTCTCATTCTTAAAAAATTAATAATAGTAGTTAGAAACAATAAAACTAAATAAATGTATGTAGTTATAATTATTACCGCAATAATAAAACATCTTACTTTTTTAAGATAATCGCATTCAGATTCTTCAACAATTTCTATTAAATATAGATATATCAGATTAAATATTAGAAGAAAATTGAACAAAAAAATAAAATAAAATCATCATTACCTCATAACTATATAATAATTTTTCGGCTGTAACATTTGATTGATTATTATTTAATTCCTCCACCTTTTTTTTACTATTTTCTAATTCTTCATTTAATCTCCTAATTTTAAATGTTTCTCTCTCATATGATTTTGTTAAGTCGTCATATCTTTTTTGGAGCTAGATATAGAAATAAAACGTTATATTTATTTATGTTCCAATAATAATAATAATAATAATAGTAGTAGTAAACGATAATAATATTTTATTACATCTATATAGGAATTGTAAGCTTTGTCTATTTTTTCTTTCATTTCTTTTTGTTGTTGAGTCATTTCAATTAATTTGAGTTTGTGAACATCAACCACTTGTTTAGAACATGCTATTTCTTTATTAGCGTTTTCCTAATCAAAAAAAATAAAAATAAATATATATTTAGTTACATTTATACCAGCGAAAATACGAGAGAGAGAGTGCATGTAATACAAGTGTATAGGTAACGAACCAATTGTGATTTAAGATTATCTTCCAAGTATTTCATTTGTCGAATATGATCAGTTTGACTTTGAATAACTGTGGACAAATGATTTTTCTGTTTTTTTAATGATACATTTTCCATCCAAATGGCATTCAATCTTTGTCTGGCTTTTGATTCCTAAATGTTCAATTAATAATATATAAATAGATAAAATTACCCTTAAATATATGTATGTATAATTTAGTTTATGATTGGGATGATTTAAAAAACATACAGATTCCCTTGCAATTTGTAACCTTTCATCTTGTGCAATAATTTCAAATACTTTTCGTGTATTTTCTTCATCTTGACGTGTCCAATGATCACCTAAAACTTGAAGTTCTTGCAATAATTCTTTCTCATTCTTAAAAAATTAATAATAGTAGTTAGAAACAATAAAACTAAATAAATGTATGTAGTTATAATTATTACCGCAATAATAAAACATCTTACTTTTTTAAGATAATCGCATTCAGATTCTAGCTTTGAAATTTTTTTCGCTGACTCATCTATTTTTTTTGCTAGAACATGTATTGTATCATCGCTTGGATCACTTATACCGTACCTTTTATCATACTCTGCTAATCGTGATTTTAACTCATCAACTTCTCTTTTATATCCAAGTTCAGAAATTTTCATTCTCTGATATTCTTGCATATCTGGAGGCACATTGTTCATATAATCTTCTAATTGTTGTTCCAATTTAGCTCTAATTTCTTCTGATTGTCTATTTTTTTCCACACCAAATTTGTATATATATGTGTGTGTGTGTATGTGTATGTATTATTTCAATAATTATTTTAGTAAATTATCTATTAAAAAAATTGTTTAATAATAATTTAGAAGAAAAAAAAGAGAGAAGAGGAGAAAAGGCTTGCAATACTTTAATCTTTCTTGTAAATGATAATCATACGATAATTTTTGTTGAATTAATTCAAATGTGTTGGCACCTGATGCTATTTCATCGTAAGAAAATTCTGGAGGTTGAACAGGATTACAATAAAAATCTACGGCTTTTTTGTTACCCTCTTGTGCTGCTAATTTCATGTGTAATCTTCTGACTTCATCCATCAATTGTTTAATTATAGTTTTGCGATCATTTGCAATCACCCTTAAAGCATTTATTTGATGGAAATCAGTAGGTAGCATTGCTCTTAACTTGTCCACCTCCATTGTTACATCATCTCTTTGTGCACGAATTCTGTCCAAATCTGTGAGAAGTTTATTTAACTGTTCTTCTACATCCTTTTTAGCAAGCTTATTTTCTTCCTATTAATTAACATTTTAAATATAAGTCATTTGGTACAAAAAAAAAGAAAAAAAAACAATGAAAATTAAAAATATCCAACTTGAATCTGATTTGTTGCCGAATTCCTAGTGGCTATCATTTTCTCCATTTCGCGACTATTTTGTTCCATAAATGTACGCAAATAATCCAAATTTTCTTTGCAATGAAGATATTGAAGTTGTAGGTTTTTATATAGTGATGATTCTGTCACTCGAGAATCTGGAATAACTTTTATCTAAATAAAAAAAAGTGTCAAAAAAATTTTTTTTTTGATATTGATTCACTGATTAATTAATTAAATTAATTACTTGTTCATGAAGTTTATTAATCTCTATTTTTAAATTCGCCTTTTCTTTTGACATCTCTTCTAATTCTTTTAAGCGAGACTCAGAAAGTGATTGAAACTGGATTAATTTTTCTTCTAATAGTTTTGACTATACAAATAAATTTATATTAAAAATGAGATGGATCTTTTTTTTTACAAAAAAAAAAAAATATATATTCTAGAGAAAAAAGACTCGCGAACATTATTATCGTTAGATTGTGATCCTTGTGAAGTTTGAGTTTTAACGCCTGACCAATATCCAAGAGTAACACTTTTTGACCTATCCATACGTTTCTCAGCTTGTTTTAATTGTTCCTCAGTTGACTCTAATTTCTCTATTTTTTCTCCAAGCTTATTTTTTGTCATTTGTAATTCGTCTTTGAGAGCAATTATCTTTAACATTATTAAAATAATAATTTAATAAATTATTATAATAAAATCATGATCATCATCACAACCGCTATTATTACCTCAAACGTCATAGAGTGAAATTTTTCTTGGAGTACATCAATTTCTTTATTAACATGTGTATAAAGTTGGTTTAATTCCTGATTTTCTGATCGTAGTGAACGGACTAATATGTTTTCTCTTGACGTAGGATCACCAGGTTCATCTTGTAAATCTTTAATGAGATTACTTCTTTTTTCAATCCATAAAATTATTTTTTCCAAAAGTTGTTTTACAATTTCTTTTGTAGAAGTACATTTTTCAGCAATTGCACGCTCAATTCGTTCAATAGATTGATCTTCATTATCAATTTGAATAAGTCTTTTAAGAAAATCCGAATCACGAAGTTGCGCTTTATTTTGTTAATTATTTCCCATCAGCAGAAAGAATATAAATTAATATCAATATCAATATCAATATCAATATGATATAAAATATAAAAACTAGATATGAATATTATTGTTATCATTATTTATATACCAATCGGAGGAGCCAAGTTAGATAAACTGCCATTATCATCCACTCTATCAATAAGCATCTTCAAATCAATTAATAACTATCAAATCGATTAATAATAATAAATAAATAAAGGAATCGCAAATATTTGAAAAAATAAAATTTAAATGCTAATAAAATTAAACAAACTTGCTCCCAATATCTATTGACAAGGCTTAAATGCTTATCATAGTTTTCTTGCTTGCTCTCAAGCTGTTTGTTCCATTGAAGTACACGTTCTGCTTCACGTTTGTATTCTTGTAGAGCACGGTATATAGCTTCCTTTTGGTAAGTCTAAATAAACATTGTTTTGAAAATATATTAATGCTAAATAGATTACCTTTCCTTGTTTTTTTTTTTTAAATAATAATAATGTTCCATAGGCCAATATAATTAATATTTTGAATTTCTAACCTCTAGCCAATTAGGATCTGAAAAGTCAAAATTCATCTTTGCGAGTATCAGAAACGATGTTTATTAATTAACATTAAAAAGAAATTAAAATCATTACGATTATAAATGTAACACGAACGCACAGAATTTTGATATTTAAAATAAATAATTAATAATGGGTGAGAAAGAGAACCCAATAGTCTTTTTTGATATTTCTATAGGTGGACAACCAGCTGGTCGAATGAAAATGGAACTATTTGCCGATGTTGTGCCCAAGACAGCAGAAAACTTTAGGTATTTACATAATTTGTGCATATTATTAAGTAACTTGATTCTCACATTATTCCATTAATAAATTTAGACAACTTTGTACAGGAGAATACAAGTAACTTTATTTAGAAGTGTTCATTAGAGCCAATTGTTATAAAGTAGAATAGATTGTTTTAAATTGATATATTGTATTGTAACTATGTATTATATAGAAAAAATGGAGTTCCACAAGGATACAAAGGTGCGACTTTTCATAGGTTAGCACATCAAACTTATAAAAGATTGTACAATTAACATTCTATTATTATAACAATAATAATTATTATCATTTATTTAGAGTTATAAAAGATTTTATGGTTCAAGGGGGAGATTTTATAAAAGTATCTAATCAATCATCTGATACTTTTTTCCTAAAATATTTTTTTTCAAAATAAAGTCAAGTAATATATAATTATTTATTTAGGGGGATGGAACTGGATCATTTAGTATTTATGGTGAAAAATTTCCAGATGAAAATTTTGAATTAAAACATACAGGACCAGGACTTCTTTCAATGGTTAGTTACTATTCAGCAAAAAAAATTTTTTTTGAAAATCTTTTTGACATTTTCTTTCTAATAATGATGATATAATAAAAAGGCAAATAGTGGATTAAATACAAATGGGTGTCAGGTATATATGTATATAAATAAATTTTTTAAGTTTAAAATTGATAAATTTATTAAATATTTTTTTTTATTTTATTTTATAATAAAGTTTTTTATCACCTGTGCAAAATGTGATTTTTTGGATGGAAAGCATGTAGTCTTTGGGAAACTAATTGATGGATTGCTTACATTGAGAAAAATTGAAAATGTTTCAACTGGACCTGGAAATCGACCAAAATTACCTGTTGTCATAACAGAATGTGGACAATACTAAGTTTTGTGTGTGTGATTATTTTGGGTATCCTAATATCCTGATTCATTATTAATTGAAATAAAATCTTTTTTCCAGAATAAATATTTATAAAAATACAATTTAATAATAACACAAAATATATATTTAAATTTAATTGATATTTGCTCTTTCTGTCCATCTTTTTTGATAGGTAATTGCATCGCCCCTAGTTGCCTGTTTATTGATTCTTTTATGTTCTTTTCTAGATACTATACGTTCTACCACTTCACCTGAACCTCTTATCAATCTAAAATAATTTTTGAAATTACTATTGAAGTTTAATTAATGATAAAAAACTAATATGTACAGTTCACTCTCTCTATAACGAACCCTCTGTCCCTATATGTAATTTCTCTGCTTTTGGTCGTTATAGAGAGAGTTTATTAAGATGGTCGTTATAGAGAGAGTAGACTGTACTATATTAAATACCTCACACGCCCATCTATAGGATCTACAACTTCACGTATTATTGATTGCTCTGCTTCATACTCTGCTTTTGTTTGAGGTGCCATTATTGGTCTTCTTGATGGTTTCACTATAGATTCTACATTGTCATCATCATTATGACTGGTATTTATAATAGTAGATGATGATGATGATTTTTGTGACCTAAGTTTTTGTTGCCATTCTTTAACCTCTTGTATAATTTTATTTTGATAGTCATTATTTTTTTCATCATCATGGTGATTATGGCGATTATGACTACTTTTCTTACGCTTCCTGTGATGTTTTTTATGGTGAGATGAATCATTAGAAGTTACTGAGCTATCGGCAGAAGAATCTCTTTTTGATTTGGTTTTCTTATGATGGTGTTTATGATGATGGCGTTTATGATGATGGCGTTTATGATGATGGCGTTTATGGTGTTTATTATTTGATTTTTTTTCTTTTTCTCTTGTTGGTGATAAAGAACCACTAGATCTAGATTGAGATCTAGAACAAGATCGTGATCTTGAATCATGTTTTCTTGATCTTTTACTGTTATTACAATCTCTATTATCAAATTTTTGTTGAGAAGTTGAAGAGGTAGAAGGGGAAGTAAAATTAATGAGCTTTGGTGATCGTGATCGTGATCTTGTCATTTTTTTTTTTTTTTTTTTTTTGAATTCAAAAAAATTTAAAAGCGAAAGATGCACAATTTTGGGCCGTGTAACAAATTCATAAAAAAAAGGATATCGCATATGACAGGAAAAGCGACCGCTTAATAATACTAAAGCAACTAATATTAATACTAATACTAATACTATTAATGTAAATCAATCTTTCCGGATGGGAATCAAAATAGTCGAGAGGACGGGAATCATACCAATATATTAATTATTTTAATAGGTAGCTGAAATTATTTTTTTGTATCATTTTGACTTTATCAATTCTGTATCACACTAGTTGCATATAATATAAATGATGTAAATATATATATATATTTTTTTTTTTCAAAAGAAATATTATAGTAATAATAGTGAATGCGATAATTATGATAAAGATGAAATACACAAAATATTTTTTATTAATTATTTTTATTTCATTTTATTTTTTTACATACACAAAAACGGAAGAAAATTCAAATGTTGATAAGAATCATAATTCAAAACTAGATCAAAATAGTTGTCCATATATTCAACGATTAAATAAACAAAAAAAAGAAAAACATGACCATGAGAAAAGTAATTTGACAAAACAAATCTTTAATTCCTTATTTCCTGGCGGTCCACTTGTTAATTCTTTGTTGGGAACATTTTATATTTCGTCAGTTCCAAATTTCATATTATATTTTGTTCCACCTGATATTGACACATCTTCATTGAATTCGCTTGTAAGTTTTGCAGTTGGTGGATTGCTTGGCGATGTATTTTTACATTTAATTCCTCATTCATTCTTGGGTGAAGATAATGATGATCAAGTACATTTTGTTAAAGTTGATGAACAAAAAAATATCATAATTGGTTTAGCAATATTCATTGGGTTTGTTGCATTTTTTATAATCGACAAATCAATGCGTGTGTTAAATGGTGGTGATGATAACTCGGAAAGTAATTCAGGGAACCATCATCACCATCATCATCATAATCATAAAGAAGAGAAAAATTCAGGTCTGGATGAAAAAATATCTTCTTCAACTACAGCATTTGATAATAATAATCAAGATGAAATTTCTTTACGTCAAAGAAATGTAAATAAATTAGAAAAAGTAGCTAATGATAATAATAGTAATGATGATATTGTTGTGAAAAACAAATCTACAAGCATTAAATTATCAGCTTATTTAAATCTTATAGCAGATGCAACTCACAACTTTACTGATGGACTTGCAATGGCAGCGTCATTTTATACGTCACCAAGCATTGGAGCTACTACAACAGTTGCTGTATTTTTCCATGAAATACCACATGAAATAGGTGATTATGCGATATTAATACAAAGTGGTTTCACCAAAAAACGTGCAATGTTTTCCCAATTTATCACTGCAATTGGTGCATTTCTTGGTACATTAACTGGAATAATAATAGAAGAATATAGTAAACAGCAGCAAGAACATCATCAAAGCAACAATCTTGATTATGATAATAATAGTTTTGGTATTTTTGGCACAGGTGTATTAATAGGTGATTTGGTTATACCTTTTACTGCAGGTGGATTTCTATATATTGCTACTGTTGGTGTTATACCTGAATTATTAAATGTCTCTGGAAATTTTACAAAAGATCTTAAGCAATCTTTAAAAGAATTTTCTACAATGTTTATTGGTGTTATGATGATGGCAATTATTTCTTGGAATGAAGTATAGAATTTAAAAGTTGACTGATTTTAAAATTTTTTTTAAAAATTTGTATCTAAATAATATAAATATATAAATAAACAAATATAATTATTTTCCATTATTGCAGGAGGTTTTATTGCTTCATAAATACCTTTATTCATTGTCCTTCTTAGTTGCTGTTTCAATAATATTTTCAGGCTTTTCTAAATCTAATTTGAGGTCTTTATGTGTTGAGAATTTTTTCTTGGCATTACAATATTTACATGTTATCTGTAGTCCTGGTTCTGGACAAGCTTATTTAAAAGATTGCTTTAAATATTAATCTAAAGAATATATTCTCTCACTCCCAAAAAAAATTTAAAATATCACTTACATTTAATTCTTACATGTGAAGTGATACTTGGCAAAAGTAAGGTTTCACACTTTTTACATAATGTTCTTTTTACAGATGGATCCATTCTTATAACTTGTTTTTTACCAATAGTTTTCATTGTATTAATATAAAATCTACCAACCGATGCCAATTTATTATTATCATTTGAAACTATTGAAGAATTATTGGAAGTTGATGTAGCAGTCATAAGTGTTGCTGCCTGGTATAGAAAATTCATACGTTGATAAAGTTCACGATGTTGTATTTGACGTGATGATGGTTCACCACCACCGCCACCTTTCTTCTTTCCCATTATCAATTATATCGATTTTAAATTAAATTATTTTTTTTGGGGATAAAAATTTATGACAAAAACCATCCACCCTAAATTTCAAATCAACTACGCCATCATTTTTATTATATTAATTTTATTTATGGATAAAAAATTTAAAACACTATAATATATTTATTTGATTATTATTATTATTATCATCAGATTTAATCCAATAAGCTTCTGGAAGATGGCTGTTTATGAAATTAATTGTTTTTTGGTGATGTTTCATTTCCTTCCTTTTTTGCTTTAATTTATTATAATAAGCTCTATCCTTTAAAACGTATTTACCATTAATTCTAAAGACTTTAGGTTTGTAGCTGCTACTGCTATTGTTAATAATACCATTATTATTATCACTGTTATCGTTGGGCTTAGAAGAAGGAGAGAGAGGTGGAAAGAAAGAAACAATCAGCAAGAGAATCATCCTCAGAAAGAATATCCTTGAAAATCATATTTTTTATTTACCTGTGGTGATGTATAAGCGAACCAGCTAGCAGATGGGACTAAATCTGTTTTAAATTTCTTTAATGGCGGTGATTGTGAGTTTTCATCCTTTTTCTCATCATCGACTGCACCATTGTTATTAGAACTGGATGGTGATGATCTTTTATTTGATCGGTGAGTAAGATTCTTAATTCTCTCCCATCGTTCGCCCACAATTTTATTCATTTTCTTTGTATCTTCGTCTTCTTCGTCTTCTTGAGTCGCTACTGGGTTTGATTCTATATATTTTTTATATGCAACGTTGTATATTCTTTTATAATAATCCCAGTCAATCTCATCATCCTTAATATCATCACCATCATCACTACTATTATTAGTGTCACCAATATCAGTATCTTTATTTTTATCGCTTCCAGGAATAAAGAGTTCCTTTAATCGTTTAATAACACTATTATTTTCAAGTAGCATAGTGGACATTCGTTTTATCACATGTGACAAAATCGATCGTTGATCTTTTTTATTATTATTATTGTTGTGAAACATGAATTTAGAATAGAAAAAAGTCGCGTGACTGCGCACAAAAACTTGTTTAACCTGATTATTTTTTTAACGTGTATATTTTGCTTTCTATGTTTTCAGTATGTGTGTGAAAAATGATCAAATGATCAAGTTGCTTTCGAAGGGTTTCATAGGAGCTATATTTCAAGCTTTAGTGATCAACGTAAGTATATTGTAAGGCATTCTAGGCTCAGAATCATGCATTTTTGTTTTATAATATGTTTATTTAAAATTTTACCAATACAAACATTTCGGAAATAATCATTTCTTCATTTTAATTTAATGTAACAAATTATCATTAACCATTATCTTTTTCTAGTCTATTATTATTATATAGGATTTTATATTTGAGACAACACCTTTTTTATAAAGTTCCATGACCATGTATTAATGTTATACCTTCTTGTTCATCCTCTTTGATCACAACATCATTATTATTGACAAGAGATGGAGAGAAAGAAAAATGTGAGAAAGCTATCTATGATGGATGATAAGCTCTCACTTGTAAATATTATTATTTATTTATTTTGTTATATAAACTTGATATATTAAATTTTGGATAATATTTTATTTATTATAATAAAAAATTATTTAAACACACATGCATATATATCTTTAGAGGAACCATTACTAGCAAGAGGTTTAATGATATCCAATTATTACAATGCATAAATATATAAAATTTAGTTTCTAAAAAAAAATTTTTTAAAAAAAAGGTGATTGATAACAAACAAAATTGTTTTATGCGTATTATGTGGATCAGATTGAATAGGGAATCTTACTGACAAATGGTTTTTGGTATTGATTTGAGAGTTAATTGTTATTTTCTTTTTTTATTCAAGAGAATTGTTTTGAAAGTAGGTCACTTATGTATTTTGATTAATTACATAATTAGAGAACATTATTTTTGATTTTTTAATGATGCATTTAAAAAACAAGGATTTTTAAACAACAACAATAGATATACTCAGGGTGTAATTATAAGGTGATTTATACAATTCAAAAAATGTATTTAAAATATATTTCTTTTATATATATATTTATATTTATATTTATATATTTACATATTTACATTTATTTTTATTTTTATTTTCAAAATTCATATATTCATTCATATTCATGACCAATTTATTTATTTATAAGAAATGTCAGATATATATACAGTATTATATAATGGATGACAATTCATGATCAAAGGTAAAATGTTGATTTGATGAAGTCAATGAAAAGTTGAAAAGTAAATAATATATTAGACTTTATAACAAAAAACCAAGCCTATG